ATATTGAATGGTTTGCTTTGGAAATGAACAGAGATCATCTGTCATTTTTGAGATTGCATCCAAGTACTGCATTTCAGACTCTTTTGTTTACTATGATGGCTACTCCATTTCTTCTAAGGGATTCTTCCCCACAGTAGTAGATATAATGGTCAACTGAGTTAAACTCACTCATTCCAGTCCATTTTAGTTTGTTGACTCCTAAAATGTTGATGTTTGATTACTTCCAATTTGCCTTGATTCATGGACCTAACATTCCAGGTTTCTATTCAATATTGCTCTTTACAGCATTGGGCTTTAGTTCCATCGCAAGTGACATCCACATCTGTCTTCCCTTTTACTTCAGATTAAGAATCAGATTCTACAAGTAGGCTACTGATACATTGCCTTTGATTGCACTGACTCTATAGATCAATTGGAGGAGAGACCTGGCTCTGTAATGATATTGAGTTACCCAGTCTATGGGCAAAGTGTATCTGTATTCATTTCCATCCTCTTTAAATTTACCATGAATGAGTTTGTAGTTTTTAACGTATCAGTATTTTGGTAAATTCATCCATAAGCATATTTGCTTTTTAAACTGTTTTAATTAGGATATTAAAATTTCAATTCTCAGTGCTCACTGCTAGGATATAAAGTATCATTGATTTTTGTTCAGTATTCATCAACTTTGTAATCCTGCTACCTTGCAAAGCTCACTTAGTACAAATAGATTTGGAGAAGTATTTTTTGCTTTCTTTTCCCTCTTTTTGGCCTTCTTTGAGATTAGTTTATACTATTCATTGTATCTCTCTTATCGACATACTACATATATGTCTTTTTTTGAGCATCAGGTTTTTACCCCTGTTTTTTCATCTTGTTCCTTTGTGGGTGCCTTCACTATGCAAGATGTAATATGTTTACTAATGCTATACAGAAACAGAAGACTAATTAGTTTGTAACCAGTAGCTGGAGTGACATGCAAGGCTGTGATGATGTCCACAACTCTAGTCTGTTTGAGGTGTAAAGATGGAAATCACACTTTTTGAAAGACTTGGATATTTGATACATGTATAAAATATTATGATGCAACTTTCCTCATTATTCATTTATTTCATTCCATAAGCTCTGACTTAGATGATTCCTTAGGTGAATGAAAACAGTCTGGCTTTATTGCCTCTCTTTCCATGCACTTCCACCTAGCCTTCCATTCTTCATGTATTTCCACGGACATTTTCACAATTCAGTTGTTCTCTCTTCAAAAGAGCAAGCCACAGGCATGGGGGAATTAAGACATTGGAGCCTTTTAAAATGAATGCTTTGGAGATAATAAAGTAACCTTGATCAGACAACAGACACAGGAGAAGATTTCAGGGTGTACTATAATATTTAATAAAGTTTTACCTTATTGAAGAATTAGAGATTCTTTGTTAATGAATCACTCAGTTAATTCAACAAGAGAGCAGCTAAAAATTTGAGAAGATTAATACCTTGATGTTATATGTGTTTTATGCACTGATAAGCATAGAAGTAGACTTGCAAGTATTATTGCAATAAATTTAGGAGGAGAAAGCTCTAAGGTACCTTGCAAAACAAATCCCATTTATGTAAATGTATCCTAAATGATGATGCTGTTAAACTGTTGCACTCAAAATGCCAGCAAATTTGGAAATCTCGCCAGTGGCTCCAGGAGTAGAAAAGGGAAGTTTTCATTTCAATTCCAAAGAAAGGCAAGACCAAAGAACGTTAAAACTACAGTACAACTGCACTCGTTTCACATGCTAGCAAGATTATACTCAAAGCCACTCAAACTAGGCTTCAGCAGTATGTGAACCAAGAACTTCTGGAAGCCCAAGCTAGATTTAGAAAAAGCAGAGGAACCAGAGATCAAATCGCCAACATCTGTTGGATAATAGAAACATCAAGAGAATTACAGAAAAACAGCTACTCCTCTTTCACTGACTATGTTAAGGCTTTGACTGTGTAGATCACAACAAACTGTGGAAAATGCTTCAAGAGATGGAAATACCAGAGAACCTTACCTGCCTCCTGAGAAACCTGTGTGTAGGTCAAGAAGCAATAGTTAGCATGGGACATAGAACAACCAACTAGTTCCAAATCGGGAAAGGAGTACATAAAGGCTGTATATTGTCACCTTGCTTATTTAATTTGTATACAGAATGCATCATGGGAAATGCCAGACTGGATAAATCACCAGCTGGAATCAAGATTGCTGGGTGAAACATCAACAACCTCACATATGCAGATGACACCACTTTAATGGCAAAAAGTGAAGAGGAACTAAAGAGCTTCTTGATGAGGGTAGAAGAGGATAATGAAAAAGCTGGCTTAAAATTCAGCATGCACAAAACAATGATCTTGGCATCCTGTCCCATTGCTTCATGGCAAATAGAAGGGGGAAAGTGGAAACAGTGACAGATTTTATTTTCTTGGGTTCAATACCACTTCATTTGGTGACTGCAGTCATGAAAATTTAAGACACTTGATGCTGGAAGAACAGCTATGGCAAATCTACATAGCATATTAAAAAGCAGAAACATCACTTTTCCAACAAAGGTAATTTAGTCAATGCTATGGTTTTCCTGTAGTTATGTATGGCTGTCAGAGTTGGAATGTAAAAAAGACGTATTCATATTTGCAACTCAGCAAATATCGATGCTTTCCAAATGTGGTACTGGAGAAGACTCTTGAGAGTCTCTTGAACAGCAAGGAGATCACACCAGTCAATCCTAAATGAAATCAACTCTGAATATTCATTGGAAGGACTGATGCTGAAACCCCAATACTAAAACCGGATGCGAAGAGCCAACTCATTGGAAAAGACCCTGACACTGGGAAAGATTGAGGGCAGGAAAAAAAGGGGATGACAGAGGATGAGATGGTTGGATGGCATTACTGACTCAATGAACAAGAGTTTGAGCAAACTCTGGGAGACAGCAAAAACCAGGGAAACCTGGCATGGGGTTGTAAAGAGTCGGACATGGCTTAGCGAATGAACAACAACATCTGGAGTTGAACAACACTGAAGTCAAACAACAACTCCGGTATTCTTGCCCAGAGAATTCCACTGACAGAGGAGTCTAGTGGGCTACAGTCTGTGGGGTTGCACAGAGTCAGACACGACTGAGCGACTAATACTTTGATAGAACAACAATAAATGTTAATATAAAATTTTATGAATAAAAACCATTTTAGAAATATAAAAGATGAATAAAAGACAGGGGAAATACTTTGAATTTCTCATATTGTATTTGAATTTCTACCGTGAAGCAGATTTATTTAGAGGCAACGAACTAAGAAGGCATCTCAGTTTGGAAGAAAACTCCATCCTCACATCCCAAGCTTTGACTTAACTAGGGAAAATTTAAGCTAGTAGGAAGGGTCAGTCAGGAGTTCTTTCCACATCTCCTTCGGGCTCACACCCACTGGGCATCATCGTGACGTTCTTCCTAAGCATACTGTTTTCTCAGTGTCAGCCCTTCGGACCACATGTGTCAGAATTCCCTGGTCATAGAGTTCAAGAATGAGCATCACTGGAGTTGGAGCTGGAAACTACATCTTTAATAATCTCCCCAGGGTATTCTAGGGAACATCAAAGTTTAAGAACCATTGCCCTAGGGCATGTGTCCTGGAGGGAGAAACAAGAAAACTGAGCAATTAATATATGTTTAATGTGTGTCTCTAACCTAGAGCTTGGAGCCCTGTCCCCTTGGGTCCCTTCCCTGGTGGACAGAGAACAGTCTTCACGTCTCCATTTCTGACATTGTTGAATTGAGGATCAAGCTCTTTTGTCTCTGATGCTGGTGAGTGGTTCAGGACCACAGAAGTGGATCAATCTTGACTCCAGGTGTCCTACAGAGAAGCTGAGAAACCAGTTCTTATTCAAGGCAGCTAGATCATTCAAGCATAAAATTCAGAGATGAACTGGGTCTCCTACAGCAATAGCAGGTGTGTATTTGTGTGTGTGTGTGTGTGTGTGTGTGTGTGTGTGTGTGTAGGCGTTCAGCACTTCTCTGTGCTCTTGCTTGTGATACTTTTTATTACTAGTTTTAAAGACAAGGGGAGAATGCATATCAGGGCATATCTCTTTGACATATCTTGGCAGCAACTGTTTTTATTTTGGATTAGGGAACTCTTCAACAAAAGAATTTTGCTGAATCAGGAGGATACTGGAGAATGATAAATATGAGTACTAGTAAAAATAAGTATAACTGCCAGTAATACTTTTTACTTCGTAGAGCAGTGATATTGCAAATTTGAACTCTGAGATACTCTGAGTTCAGTTGACATGTACACTTCTTCTTTTTCTTCAGCCTTTATACATAATGGAACTGGCTATTTATTTGTTTTTTTTTATTTTAAAGAAATTTTTTTAATGTGGATCATTTCTTAAATTCTTTGTTGAATTTGTTACCATATTGTTTTGTTTCATGTTTTGATTTTTAGCCATAATGCATGTGATATCTTTAAACCTGGAACAAGGATTGAACCCATACATCCTGACTTGGAAGCTCAAGTCTAAAGCAGTGGATCGCCAGGAAATTCCCTGGCTGTGTATTTTTTATCCACTTTCCTTCAAGAATTTGTTGCTGAAACATCTTCCTTATACTTTACATATGAGAGGAACTTGAAGTCAGATTTCCATAGGTCAATATGTCACAACCTGAAGGTCAAATCTGATCATATCTACAGAAACAAGAGAAATTAAGGAGGTTTTTAACTCACTATATCTCTGCTAAGATACTGTGATAATTTCTCTTTACTGAGATGATGGAAAAATGCCACTGAGTCAGCTTCTCTTCTATAACAAACTCTTTTCTTAGTTGGTAAATTCTCTCATTATACATGGTAATACCATTCATATTAGGGGTTTTTGCAGGGAAAAAGCAATGCAGAAAGACACTGACATATTCACCAAGAGGAAGGACTCATTTATATATGCCTGCTGCAATCAAAATGTGCTTCTTTCACTGTCGTTTCATTCCCAGCAGACAGGAGAGAAGCATGAAGAGGGAGAACCAGAGCAGCATGTCCGAGTTCCTCCTCCTGGGGCTCCCTATCCGGCCAGAGCAGCAGGGCGGGTTCTTTGCCCTGTTCCTGGGTATGTACCTGACCACAGTGCTGGGCAACCTGCTCATCATCCTGCTCATCAGGCTAGACGTTCGTCTCCACACCGCCATGTACTTCTTCCTCAGCCACTTGGCCCTCACTGACATCTCCTTTTCATCTGTCACCGTCCCTAAAATGCTGATAAACATGCAGACTCAGGATCAATCCATCCCCTATGCAGGGTGCATAACACAGATGTATTTTTTCATTTTTTTTACTGGTCTGGATGATTTCCTACTCACCTCGATGGCCTATGATCGGTACGTGGCCATCTGTCACCCTCTCCACTACAGCACCATCATGGGACAGGGGCTGTGCACCTTACTAGTAACTGTATCCTGGATTCTCTCCTGCACCAATGCCCTGTGTCACACCCTCCTCCTGACCCGGCTGTCCTTTTGTGCTGACCACACTATCCCCCATTTCTTCTGTGACCTTGGTGCCCTGCTGAAGCTCTCCTGCTCAGACACATCCCTTAATGAGCTGGTCATTTTCACAGCAGGAGTGGCCGTCATCGTCCTCCCACTAGTATGCATCCTGATCTCTTATGGACGCATTGGGGCCACCATCCTGAAGGTCCCCTCCGCCAAGGGGATCTGCAAAGCATTGTCCACATGTGGCTCCCACCTCTCTGTGGTGTCTCTGTATTATGGAACAATTATTGGGCTGTATATTTTCCCCTCATCCAGCACGTCCAGGGACAAGATCACCATTGCCTCTGTGATGTACACAGTGGTCGCTCCACTGCTGAACCCCTTCATTTATAGCCTAAGGAACAGGGACATGACGGGGGCCCTGGAGAGACTCTTGCACAGGGCAAAAGTCTTGTCTCAATGAAATTTGCTCATCTTTGTAACAGCCATGTGTGTTCACAATACCTCAGATCATATATCCCTAGATTTGATCCCAGCATGGAATGAATAGTCAGTAAATATTTGATAGTTGAATTACACTCCTTTACAATTATTATCTATTTCCTAACAGTTCACTAGCATAAATTGTGAGTTTTGAGTTTATGGTCTTGATTTTTGATCTTGTCGATAAGGCTGAGAATTATAGCTGGTAGTACTTAGTCTCTCCTGTTATAACCTGGGAATTTATTTCTTTTTAAAAAATGTATTTAATTAATTATTTATTTTTTATTGGAAGATAATTGCTCTACAATATTTTGTTTGTTTTTGCTGTACCACAGTTGAAACAGGTATAAGTACATATATACTCACCCTCTTGATCCTCCCTCCTACCCTCCCCACGCTTTGCAGCCCTCAGGTCATCACAGAGCACCACACTGACTTTCCTGTGCTATGCAGCAGTTTCTCATTAGCAATCTAAGTACACGTGGTTGTGTACATATGTCAGTGGTACTCTTTCAGTTTTTTCCACCCTCTCCTTTCTTGTGAGCAAACTATGCGGAGGACAGGGGAGCCTCGTATGCTGCAGTCCATGGCCTTGCAGAAAGTCAGACATGTGACTGAATAACAACAACTCCTCCTTCAACTGTGTCCAGAAATTCATTCTCTGTGTCTGCCTCTCTATTCTTGACTGTCTAATCTGCTCATCACTACCATTTTTCTAGATTCCATGTATAGACATTAACATACAATATTTATTTTTCTCTTTACTCTGTATGTCAGACCCAGACACTTTGTAGACCCATCCACATCCCAGCAAATGGCACAATTTTGTTACATTTTGTGGCTGTATGATATTCTATTGTATATATGTGCCACATCTTCTGTATCCATTCCTCTGTCAATGGACATTTACTACAGTGTATAAAATAAATACTAAAGAGAATCTACTGTATAGCACAGGAAACTCTGCTCAAAGCTCTTTGGTGGCCTAAATGGGAAGGAAATTAAAAAAAGAGGGGCATAGATATATATAAATATGGCAGATTCATTTTTCTGAGGTCAAAAAATGTAACATTGTTATGCAACTATAGTCCAATAAATTTTTATTAAAAAGTTTCTTTGGAAAAGCAAATGCATTTTATTTTTTTGAAATCAAGATTCTGCTCTTTTCCTTGTAGTGTTCGTGACTTTTGTGTCCTATTTAAGAATATGTTGCCTACCCCACATTTACCAAAATTTTGTCCAACGTTTCTTCAAAATAGTTTTATAGTTACAGTTCTTACACATTTGACCCATTCCGAGTTATGTTTTGCATGCGTGCAGCACAAAAGTCCATGTTCACTTAAGACATATTGATACTGAAGCATGCTGGCACCATTTATTGAAACAGTATCCTTGCCACATTTAAATTGCCTTGGTGCATTGTAAACTATTAATTGACTTGATGTGTATTGATCTATTTCAAAATTATTCACTGTTCTATTGATCTATATTCCTATTCTCATGCAATGACTTTTATTTTGCTTGCTATGGAGTATAAAAGTTTTGAAATTAGGTAAACTAAGTATGGCAGTTTCCTTTTCATTTTAAGATTTTTTTGTCTTCCCTTTTGCTTATATGTAATATTAAGAATCAGCTTCCGCAAGTAGGCTACTGATACATAGCCTTTGATTGCACTGACCCTATAGATCAATTGGAGGAGAGACCTGGCTCTGTAATGATATTGAGTTATCTAGTCTATGGGCAAAGTGTATGTGTATTCATCCTCTTTAAATTTACCATGAGTGTGTTTGTAGTTTTTAACATACCAGCACTTTGGTAAATTCATCCACAAAGCATATTTTGCTTTTTAAACTGTTTTAATTAGGATATTAAAATTTCAATTCTCAGTGCTCACTGCTAGGATATAAAGTATCATTGATTTTTGTTCAGTATTCATCAACTTTGTAATCCTGCTACCTTGCAAAGCTCGCTTAGTACAAATAGATTTAGAGAAATATTTTTTGCTTTCTTTTCCCTCTTTTTGGCCTTCTTTGAGATTAGTTTATACTATTCATTGTATCTCTCTTATCGACATACTACATATATGTCTTTTTTTGAGCATCAGGTTTTTACCCCTGTTTTTTCATCTTGTTCCTTTGTGGGTGCCTGCACTATGCAAGATGTAATATGTTTACCAACGTTATACAGAAACAGAAGACTAATTAGTATGTAACCAGTAGCTGGAGTGACATGCAAGGCTGTGATGATGTCCACAACTCTAGTCTGTTTGGGGTGTAAAGATGGAAATCACACTTTTTGAAAGACTTGGATATTTGGTACATGTATAAAATATTATGATGTAACTTTCCTCATTATTCACTTATTTAATTCCATAAGCTCTGACTTAGATGATTCCTTAGGTGAATGAAGACAGTATGGCTTTATTGCCTCTCTTACCATGGGCTTCCAACTAGACTTCCATTCTTCATGTATTTTCACGGACATTTTCACAGTTCGGTTGTTCTCTCTTTAAAGGAGCAAGCCACAGGCATGGGGAAACTAAGACAATGGAGCCTTTTAAAATGGGATGCTTTGGAGATAATAAAGTAACCTTGATTAGACAACTGACACAGGAGAAGATTTCAGGGTGTACTATAATATTTAATAAAATTTTACCTTATTGAAAAATTAGAGATTCTTTGTTAAAGAATCATTCAGTTAATTCAGCCAGAGAGTAACCAAAAATTTGAAAATGTATAAGATTAATGTATTGATGTTATATATATTATATGCACTGATAAGCAAAGAGGTAGACTTGCAAGTATTATTGCAATAAATTTATCTTAGGACAAGAAAGCTCTAAGATACCGTGCAAAATAAATCCCATTTATGTAAATATATCCTAAAAGATGATGCTGTTAAACAGCTGCACTCAGTAAGCCAGCAAATTTGGAAAACTCACCAGTGGCCCCAGGACTAGAAAAGGGGAGTTTTTATTTCAATCCCAAAGAAAGGCAAGACCAAAGAATGTTAAAACTACAGTACAACTGCACTCATTTCACATGCTAGGAAGCTTATACTCAAAGCCACTCAAACTAGGCTTCAGCAGTATGTGAACCAAGAACTTCTGGAAGCCCAAGCTAGATTTAGAAAAAGCAGAGGAACCAGAGATCAAATCGCCAACATCTGTTGGATAATAGAAACATCAAGAGAATTACAGAAAAACAGCTATTCCTCTTTCACTGACTATGCTAAAGCCTTTGACTATGTAGATCACAACAAACTGTGGGAAATTCTTCAAGAGATAGAAATACCAGAGTACATTACCTGCCTCCTGAGACAGCTGTGTGCAGGTCAAGAAGCAATAGCTAGCATGGGACATGGAACAACTGACGGGTAACAAACTGGAAAAGGAGTACATAAAGGCTGTATATTGTCACCCTGCTTATTTAGTTTGTATACAGAATGCATCATGAGAAATGCCAGACTGGATGAATCACCAGCTGGAATCAAGATTACCAGGAGAAATACCAACAACCTCACATAAGCAGATGACATCATTTTAATGGCAGAATTCGAAGAGGAACTAAGAGCTCTTGATGAGGGTAGAAGAAGAGAATGAAAAAGCTGGCTTAAAATTCAACATGCAAAATACAAAGATCATGGCATCCCATCCCATTGCTTCTGGCAAATAGATGGGGGAAAAATGGAAACAGTGACAGATTTTCTTTTCTTAGGTTCAAAATCACTTCATTTGGTGACTGCAGTCATGAAAATTAAAGACACTGATCTTGGAAGAACAGCTATGACAAATATACTTGGAATATTAAAAAACAGAGACATTACTGTTCTAAAAAGGTAATTTAGTCAAAGTATTGGTTTTCCAGTAGTCATGTATGGATGTGAGAGTTGGACCATAAAGAAGACTGAGTGCCGAATATTGATGCTTTTGAAATGTGGAGCTGGAGAAGACCCTTGAGAGTCCCTTGAACAGCAAGGAGGTTGCACCAGTCAATCCTAAAGGAAATCAACCCTGAATATTCGTTGGAAGGACTGATACTGAAGCTGAAACTCCAATACTTTGGCCACCTGATGCAAAGTCAACTCACTGGAAGAGACCCTGATGCTTGGAAAGATTGAGGGCAGGAAAAGAAGGGGATAACAAAGAATGAGACTGTTGGATGGCATTACTGACTCAATGAACATGAGTCTGAGCAAACTCTGAAAGACAGCAAAAACAGGGAAGCCTGGCCTAGTGCAGTTCATGGGGTTGCAAAGAGTTGGACAGAGCTTAGGAACTGAAAACAACAAATGGAGTTGAACAACACTGGAGTTAAACAACAACTCCAGTATTCTTGCCTGGAGAATAAAAGAGGGGAAATACTTTGACTTTCTCATTTTATATTTTAATTTCTACCATGGAGCAGATTTACTTAAAAGGCAACAAACTAAGAAGGCATCTCGACTTGGGAGAATACTCCATTCTCACATCCCAAGCTTTGACTTAACTAGGGGAAACTTTAAGCTTGTAGGAAGGGTCAATAATGGGGTCTTTCCACATCTCATTTGGGCTCACACCCACAGGGCATCATCATGACATTCTTCCTAAGGACACCGTTTTCTCAGCATTGGCCCTTAGGACCATGTGTGTCAGAGTTCCCTGGTCACAGAGTTCAAGAATGAGCATCACTGGAGCTGGAGCTGGGATCTGCATCTTTAATAATCTCCCCAGGGCATTCTAGGGAACATCAAAGTTTAGGAACCACTGCTGTAGGGCATGTGTCTTGGACGGAGAAACAAGAAAACTGAGCAATTAATACATGTTTAATGCATGTCTCTATCCAAGAGCTTGGAGCCCTGTCCCCTTGGGTCCCCTCCCTGGTGGACAGAGCAGTCTTCACATTTCTGTTTCTGAAGTTGGTGAATTGAGGATCAAACTCCTTTTTCTCTGATGCTTTTTCTCTGTGGGTGTTTCAGGACCACAGAAGTGAATCAATCTTG